ATAAGATATCTTATCTTGAATCATTCGACATCTTGTCTGGTACAAGTCTGCAACTTGGATTTATTTGTTTTAAATTACTAAATATTATGGGAATATTGAGTAATCCTACGTGGCATCCAAGTTTGAGGAATTGGAGATTCTGTTTTGAATTTTTTTGACAACTTGGATGATATTGAGACATTTTAGGAAGCATATGATTTAATACCTACTTTTATGGAGAATATTCTGCAGATCTTTAGCAGTTGCCTTGCTGCGTTTTTGAAGCCAAAATTCAGTCCAGACAATGCTTATATATAGATTGTATTTGTAACCTAAGAAACAGAACATAATATGTGTGTTGTATGGTTAATGATTAGGGTTTGTAGTTTGTTCTTTGTGATCCATTCTATAGTAGAGTTACACAGTGTTAATTGTTAGCCTCTCTAATATCATCTTGGTATAAGAGTGGGATTGTCTCTATTGATTTGTAATTGTTGTCAATCATTCATAAACTTTTAAGCATTGAATGGTTGTATGTTTTTGAAGTGTGTCTTATAAGATATTTTTGAGTATTGAGTTATTCATCATTGTTTGTGTCTGAAAGGGAAGTGAGAGGGGTCTCATACCTAAGTGTGTCTTAGGTAGAAGTATAGAATGAATAGTGAATAAGTGAGAAGTTGTAAACGGGAGAGTTTAGCTTCAAATTGATACTATTTAGTGGATTTCCTTCCTGATTTGGTAGCCTCCAGATGTAGGTGTTATTGTAAATCGAACTGGGTTAACAATTCTATATGTTCACTTTACTTTTCGGTTCTGTTTTAATTGTTATACATTGTCATTGTGTTTTTGTTTAGAGATCAATGTCACAACATCTCTTAGGACATCTGAGATCTGACTACCAGAATTTTAATATTTTTAATCACTAAAATTAACATTAGAAAAAATAATTCTCCTTGATTTATGTAAAAATAATTTTAATACACTTATAAGAGACACACATTTTAATCAATTATTTAAACCAACAACTTACACTAATTTAATTCAACTACTACATACTAGTTGAGTTAATCCACCAACCAAATATAATGTGTATTTGTAAAAAAATACAGATGTGTGACATACTTATACTGGTAGGGATGACAAAAAGCTTTAGGTTTTTTCGGTGCTTTAGAGCTTACTCACGGTGGTGAGAAATACCGTTCTATAATGTTTTTTACTATGAAGAGAGGAAGCTCACGTGAGATGAGAATTTCTATATTCTTAGGATATTTCGTGAGGTGAGAAGATCAGAGTTCTTTCTTCAATTCTGAAGTTGAGGTATTTATAAAGGCTTATGAGCATGGATTTAGAGAACTCCTAATAAGTGGTAACCAATCCATTTTGAATGGGAGATCTCTTGACTACCTATTTCTTAGGAAATTGTGACAAAGACCTCATACATATGCGAGTATAAGCTATACATACGTAACCAATCATGCTTTTCATCAGGGCGGGTGGCCAGCAGAGTGAGGATGATATTTGGGCGCCATATACTGGGGTGATTGTCTTATGGATCTTAGTCTCATACCATATTGTCATGGACCTTTACAAATATATCACTACTACAACTCCTTACGTACAAGGTTTTATAAAGGGTAAAGTGCTTTAGACTCTCAATCCCTTTTTTAAAAAACTCCTCCATTGAGGGTGGGTCATTAGATAGGTGAGTCCATCAATTAGGGGAAATTCCCTCAGCTATGGGGGCAAGTCCTTCAGTTGGGGGTGAGTCATCATCCCACTTTCAAGTTTCTCATGAGTATTTTGTGTGTCAGTTGAGGATGTCAAACACTAATCACTCACTTGATCTTATTTAATGTAAGCAATGATGGTTTATTTTAGAGGCGCTAAACAATCTTGTTGGTGCAATAATTGGGGGGGGGGATGGGGGTCACCGGGGGAGCATTTTTACTTTGGGGACTTTCCTTTTGAGCAACACACCTTTGTGAGACACACACCACATACTCATCCAAAACCTTAAGGTGATAGGTATGTGGATTCCCTCACTTATAAATACCCAAGTCTCCACATTCCTAACCACAGTGTGAGACTTCTCACACTACCCACACTTGTAATTCTTTTTCAACAAATTTTTGGATATTAGACGTGTCACAAACGTGTTAAGCTCTTTAAAGATTTTGGGTGAGCCGAAAAGATTTATGACCACTTATATTAAAAAAATGCAGCAATCTCAAAATAGTAACAAAATTTCTTATTATATATAAAGATTTTTAATTTATTCAATGAAAAATTCAATAATAATTACTTTCTCAAAACCCAACGGGGAAGAAATGCATAACCTTTGTAAAAATACTAAGGGAATTTTTTAATGCACTATATGCTTTACTAGGGAACCTTGTGAAAATACATTTATGCACTCAGGTTTCAGAGATACATCTCCGGATGCACCAAGATTTAACGCATTCCTGAACAAGGCCCTGAATCAGTGGAAAGAATTTTCTAGATATACATTACGTAGATGCATCTCTGGACCCACCCAAATCTAGTTAAATTATGGACTAGGCCCCAAATTTCACGCTAAAATAGTCTGGTGATACATCTCCGAAAGTTTTACGTAGATGCATCTCCGGACACTATTCGTTCAAATATGCGCTAGAGCCCATTCCCCTTCCTCACTCATGCAAACTCTTTTCAAAACCCATTTCTAAAAACACTCATCCACCCCATTTTCTCAAACTCACTCATAACACACCTACGCAACATCAAAGAGCATCAATCTTCATCAAACATCTGACTTCAAACAACATTGACCAACAATAATCAACTTTAAGACACAAATTATATGTTTTTTGTAAAGTTTATGAGTTTATGTAAAATTGTGTAGAAATTGAGTTTTAGGTTATGAAATCAAAATATTTTTAGTGTTTGATAGCTTAGAACTAATGAGGAACGGTTTAGTTAGGTAGTTTTTATGATCAATTGATTATATTTTATGTTTTATGGGTCTTCATTCCACTATTGACAGTGCTTGGAGTTGCAGGAGTTTTCAGAGATGCATAGCCGAAATGTTTCAACGTTTACCCAGAACTGGATATGCATCTCCGTAAGCAGTCTGTGTAATGTTTTTGCCTTTTTTGTAATTAATTTGTTGTGTAACCCTTGTCTTGTCTATTTACATGAGTTATGGCTGAAAGACAATCCCGATTAAGATACGGTGGGCTTGCATATGTGGAAGATCACTCGCCTAGAAGAGCCCAATGAGTTGTGGTTTCAAGAAGTTTTGTAGCTATCAGGGATGCAGGGTTTGAGCAAGACTAATTATGTTATAGTTAACCAGGGTATGCTTAATGCGTTTGTAGCGAGATGGCACATGGAAACGTCATCATTTCATCTATCACATGGTGAGATGTCTATCACACTGGACGATATCACATGTCTGCTACATCTTCCGGTTAGGGGGAGACTTTTAGATCATGTGAGGTGTAACAAATAAGATGCACTAGAGTTGATGGTAGACTATCTAGGAGTTGACCCAAAGGATACCGTTGAGGAGCTTGACTTCACCCATGGGGCTCATGCTAGGTTTAACTTTTTGCATAACGTGTTTGATGATGAGATATCAAGAATACGATAAGCTGTTAGCGCTAACGAGTGTGTATGACTGCATAAAGGGTATGTTATGAGATTATACTTGTTGTATTTGGCTGTCACTGTCATTTTTGTGGACAAGAGTGCCACTTCTGTGGATTTCATATACTTGCAGTACTTTGAGCATATCCATACGTACAACTGGGGACCGTTTGTTTGGTCTACTTGTACTCTAAGTCATCTGAAGTTTGTATGTGGCGATGATCATTGTAAATGCCATGATGGCGGAGGCTCAAGAGGCTCTGCAGTATAGGAGGCAGCGTAGGAACATGGGGTACGAGGCGCGAGGCCGACTCCCAGTGTGTCATACGCAGTAGATTATTGTATTTGTAATCTTGATACATTTTGGGTTGTATTTTGTTTATCGACTTTTAGATTGAATTTATGTAATCTTGACTTATAACTTCATATATGTCATTTTATTCATATCCTTAGTATTATCGAATCTCACAATACCTTCTAACTATTTGATATGAGAAGCGTGTTACAATAATTAGTGATTATTGTATGTATAAAATACATAGATACGCCTCTGAATACTTTACGAAAATATATCTCTGAAACAAAGTATCATTAAACAAAAATAAAGTAAATACATCTCTAAAAATTGAAGGACATTTTAAAAATTACATAATATCTTTTTCAAGTATATAAAATGCAATAAAAAACTCTAAATAAGAACGTAGTGTCTTTTTCAAATATATAAGAATGCAATAAGAAACCTTAAATACTAATATGATTGGACTTACACCCTTCCTTTCCCCAAAAGAAATACTAATAATATGATTAAAAGTTTTGTGTTTATTTGTAATAACTTTCAGCATGAATCTCAATATTTGCTTAAAATGATACTACTCCGTATTAATTTATAAACAAAAATATAATATTTATTTTTATTAAGAAAATTTAAATTTTTGTATTATTTTTAAATATGTTTTATAGAAAGACGTAAAAAAAATTTTATTGGTTATTGTTTATAGAAAAAATAAGAGCAAAGCTGAGTTAAATGTAATTTATATTTAATATCTTCTTTAAAAAAACAACTTTTTAGAATAAAATGATTAAATGACATAAAATTGATGTTTTTTTCCTTATAATTTATGATAAGAAAATGAATGTTTTTATTTATAAAATGGTACGGAAGGAGTACTTAAAAAAAAAAAAACACACTAACCGGTTGTTATCGTCGGTAGCAGTAAAAGCAGCATTTCACCGTAGTGAAAACAATCTTCCATGACCTACCTATAAACTTTGTGTACTTGGTTTACGACATACAACAACGTCATTACATTACTCACGAGGTTAAGTTTAAGGTTATTTCAATTCCCCAGAGACTATTCAACTTCTCTCTAAACACTCTCCTTTTTTCGGTAACTATGGCCACCGCCGACCCAATCCCGAACGGAACTTTACAATTCCAACCACCAGTCGACCCAATTTCGGACGCCGTCAACGCTCCGACCACCGAGGAAACAGATTCCGAAGAGAAGAAATGGCCGGGGTGGCCCGGTCATTGCGTTTTCCGGCTGATTGTTCCGGTTCTTAAAGTCGGGATCATAATAGGCCGTAAAGGGGAGCTTATCAAGAAGACTTGTGAAGAGACTCGTGCTCGGATTCGTGTTCTCGATGCTCCACTTGGTACTCCTGATCGAATTGTGAGTATTCGGTATTCCCTTTCATTAATATTTTTAGGGTTTTATTTTATCATTTACTTTTTGTTAAGTTCACTTCATGTTTTGCTTCACCCTTAGGATACAAAATGTTGCTGAATTTACTTTCTAATATATAAAGCTTGTACCTTTTGTTGTAGCTAGTAAATTGCCAAAGGGAATATGTAGTTTAGTTACATACATGAGGATATTACTTTTTTTGGGTATCTTGTTTGATTAAGTTTTGAAAATGGTTTAAATCTTATTGCTGATCAAATTGTAAGTCTTGCCTTTCATTACTCTCTTGTTAGGTTTTATATCCCCTTTGCTTTGTTAAGATCGTTACAGTTCATGTAACTAATTGATAACTCTGCCAGTGCGGGGCTGGTCAGAGTCACGAGTATGAGTCTGAGTCATATCAAAAGTGTATGTCCTTTCCTCAGTGACTGCAACTGTATTCTTTTTATAGTGGTTTTGGTCTGCTCCTTTTAATTATTCTTAATGGTGTCTTAATTGCCAGATTCTCAGCCATGTCCTTAATTCGCTCATAAATGCATTGTCCCTCGTTCCGTAATTTGAATACCCCTTCATGTTGGTTCTGTGCTGGCCTGATCGACTTGGCCATTTTAGTTGGCCTAGCTCCGCCATGCTTTGTTGGACAGGTTAGAAATCAGGGCAACTTCTTCCGATTGTACACAGTCCCTTACGCACAAAGCTTGTAAGAGTGAGATGCTTTGTGGGGGAAGACCAGATTGTACATAGTCCCTCAAGTATGAGGCTTGTAAGGGTGAGATGCTTTGTGGGGGAAAGACTAGATTGTACATAGTCCCTTAAGTATGAGGCTTGTAAGGGTAGGATGCTTTGTGGGGGAAGACTAGATTGTACATAGTCCCTCAAGTATGAGGCTTGTAAGGGTGAGATGCTTTGTGGGGGAAGACCAGATTGTACATAGTCCCTCAAGTATGAGGCTTGTAAGGATGAGATGCTTTGTGGGGGAAAGACCAGATTGTACATAGTCCCTCAAGTATGAGGCTTGTAAGGGTAGGATGCTTTGTGGGGGAAAGACCAGATTGTACATAGTCCCTCAATTATGAGACTTGTAAGGGTAGGATGCTTTGTGGGGGAAAGACCAGATTGTACATAGTCCCTCAAGTATGAAGCTTGTAAGGGTGAGATGCTTTGTGGGGGGAAGACCAGATTGTACATAGTCCCTCAAATATGAGGCTTGTAAGGGTGAGATGCTTTGTGGGGGAAAGACCAGATTGTACATAGTCCCTCAAGTATGAGGCTTGTAAGGGTAGGATGCTTTCCGGGGGAATGACCAGATTGTACATAGTCCCTCAAGTATGAGGCTTGTAAGGGTAAGATGCTTTGTGGGGGAAAGACCAGATTGTACATAGTTCCTCAAGTATGGGGCTCGTAAGAGTGACATGCTTTGTGGGGAAAGACTGGTTTGGACACAGTCCCTGAAGCGTGAAGCCGGTAAGGGCGAGATGCTTTACAGCGAGAAGACTGGGTTGTATACAGTTCTTCAAGCATGAGGTATGTAAGAGCGAAATGCTTTAGGTGGGAAATCAGGTGAGAGACCGGAATGCCTCTGGCCTCCTAATTTGATTATTCTCGTCTTGTCAATTTTGGGCCGGAAAAATAGGCTTGGCCTATTAACTTGGCCACATCCGGCTTCCCTTTGTCGGGCTAACTAAGGTTCAGAGCGGCCAACAACCCCGACCCAAAAGAGATCGAATATGTACATTTCATATTTAGCTTCACCTAATGGTTTCATTTTCTCATCTTACTTTTATTTAATGCTTATGTTAGCGATGGTGATTTGATTTTCAATTTACTTTATTTTTAACTTTATTTTTATACTAGTGGAGTTTCTTTGTAGGATTTATATGACTTGACAAATAAATGTTGCTGAATTTCGTTTGTAATATATGTAAAGCTGGCACCTTTCATTGTAGTTAGGAAATTGCCAACGTAAATATATAGTTTAGTTACATGAGGATTGAGGATAATATTTTTGTTCGTGTGTCTCGTCCAATTCGGTTTTGAAAATGGTTTGAACTTTGATTTTAGGTGCTTATATCGGGGAAGGAAGATTTGGACGCGCCTCTTTCTCCTGCAATGGATGCTGTAATAAAGATTTTTAAACGTGTCTCCGGATTAAGTGAAACTGATGACAATAATGCAACATCAGGAGCTGCATTTTGCTCCATCCGTTTATTGGTGGCCTCAACGCAAGCTATCAATTTGATAGGAAAGCAGGGTTCGTCGATTAAAACTATACAAGAAAATACCGGTGCTTCTGTTAGAGTATTGGCGGGAGGTATGCTTGATAACAGCTGTGTGTTTTTTATTCATTTTGACTAATGTTTTATCACATGTTATGAAATATATTTTTAGCCTCTGGTGGTGTTCGATTTAACTTGATTTCTATGGAATATAATTGAAACGAGGGACCTTTTTTCTTCCCATTGCGTTACCTAGTATGTAGAGGCCGAGTGTTTAGGTGCGTTGTAGTTGTGTTACCAATTGCCTCTCTCTGAACCTGATTTGTTTGTGGACTTCAATTTGACTTGAAATCAAGATTTCAGGCAAGACTCTTCCAAAATAAGGTGATTTCTACGAGTTTAAGTGAGATATGTAATTTGATCTTTCTACTTTAGATTGGAAATTAAAGGGTCAATACATCATAGCTCACATTAATGACAACAACAACTACAATAACCAAACCTTATTCCACTAAGTGGGGTTGATTAGTGGAGGTAATGGGGGTTATTCAATAGTTAGAGGTAGAGAGGGATCAAGAAAAACTAAAGGTTAAACCATAGAATGAGATATAGAAGTAAACGATTTCTTTAAATCAATACAGGAAAGGCCAGTATGGTGTTGCTTGATCCACATTGGCTGTATTGTTATTTGTACTTCATTTATTTTTTGATTGAAGAAGTTCTGATGAAAAACTCATTTCCCGGACAGAGGAGCTTCCATCGTATGTTGGTGCCGATGAAAGGATTGTAGAACTGCAGGGCGAAACCTTAAAGGTCCTTAAAGGTCTGGAAGCAGTAGTCGGGCACCTGAGGAAGTTTTTGGTTGATCATAGTGTTCTTCCCCTATATGAGAAAACTGTAAGTCTGATATTTAACCTATTTTTATTTAAAGCGTGAAAGCCATCTTTTCTGATTTTACTGTATATTTTTGTGACACTAAGATATGCAAATTCTTGTTTTTTTGTTCAAGTGCAATGCAACAATCTCCCAAGACCGCCAGACAGATTCCTGGGCAGAGAAACCCTCACTGCGTAGTGCTTCGCAACCTAGCATTGTTGCTGATATTCCTCCAACAAAAAGGGATTATTTCTTTGCTGACCGTGAAAGTCAATTCGATTCATTGCTCTCTTCCTCAACAATGTCGCAATATGGACAAGATTCTTCAATCTCTGGTCTTCGTTCTTCGGCATTTAATCGTGCTAGTGCTTCCATTGTTACTACAGTAAGCATTTTTTACTTTTTAAGTACTCTTTTTTTTTTTATTTGTGACAAATATTGTAGAACTCTTACCCACTATTTGAAAAATAATCATGTATCATAATTGTATACCTAGTGTTTATGCAAGGCATTTCATTGATTTATTATTCCCCTATCAGGTAATACAAACAATGCAAATACCACTTTCCTATGCAGAGGACATAATTGGTGTTCAAGGGACTAATATCGATTACATTCGCCGTACTAGTGGTGCCATATTGACTGTGCAGGAGAGCAGAGTGCCAGATGAAATCATTGTGGAAATAAAAGGCACCTCCTCTGAAGTTCAAACAGCACAACAATTGATTCAGGTAGAAACTCGGGCATGAGAAAAACACTACATTTTTTTTCTGTTTTTTAATGAGAATTAGTTTATGTTTATTCAAGTCACTTTTGCTGATGAAAATGTCTTTTTCTGTTGCAGGAAGTCATAGCTAATCACAACGAAACTATCGCTAGTAGTTATGGCAGGTTAGATTCAGGGCTGAGGTCTTCTTACTCTCAGTTGAGCAACTCTTCCTATCCCTCATCTTCGTTGCCATCATCGCAATCCTACAATGGGTATGGATCTTCCGGTCTAGGAGACTATAGTACTTTCAGACTTTAAACTGGTCTTAAACAAGGAAACAGTCTTGAACCAAGTTGTCCCAGTTGGGTGGAATGAAATCTGTAGCAACAAAAAGCATTTTTTTTGTTTTGTTTTATCTGATATGTCATCATTTGATGGTGTAGTTTTAAATGTGGACAAAGGATACAATGCAATAGAAAAATGAAATATTAAGCTAATAACCTTTTCTGGATGTTCAGTTTGGTAGTGTACATGCGCATGGGTTTAATGCTTAACCTTAACATGTATGGTGGCTTTGAAACTTGTATTTTATATACTGTTGTTTCTACTATTGGTGCTTAAATTTCGACTGAGTTTGGTATTTTATCGTCCAACTTTTTTTTTTTCCTTCTATGATTAAAAGAATGATATTACACTGTGGAGATGATCAAAGCACCAGGAGTGTTAAACAACTTTGAAAGAATGGGTTTTGTTTTATAGGGGCATGTCAAAAAATCTCTAGGATCAAAATATATATTTCGAGTCTGGTTCTATAAGGGTTGCGTGCAACCTCATTTATTTATTATTTTTTATAATAAATAAAATAAAATATTTATAATTTTATTATAAATAAATACAATATATAAAGTAATCATTTTTAATATAATAAAATTTTAAGTATTTATAATATATATTTTTAAAAAATACTATAACATTTTTAAGTATAATACAAGTTTAAAATTATTTAAAATTAATATATAAATATCAAACATAACACAATTTATATATTATTTTAATATAAATATCAACCTTCCCTCTCCCATGGATTCCCTCTACTTAATCGACATTGTCAGCCGTTTTCTCCCCTCACGCCTTCTCCCCTCAAACCTTCTCCCACAAACTCGCCACAGAAAAGCCCGCAGAAGCGCAAACTCTAGAAATGGTGGATGCGTCTAACGAAACTGTGACGTTGGTGGTGAAGATGATGCATGTTGAAGTTGTGTTATGTAGATAATGTATGTTGATGTTGTGTTATGTTAATGTTGTGTATTTGATATGTCGTATGATTGTGGTAAAATGATGTGAAGGTGTAAGATAAAGAATGTATGACTATGCGTAATAAATTGCTATCCACTTATTATTATGGTTAAATACACTTTACCCCCTGTAATAGTAGCGAGTTTTGATCTATCCCCCTTTTAAAAAAAATTATTTTTGTCCCTTAACAAATATAGATTCTAAAATAAAAAACCGTATAGTCCAAGATTCTCTTTGAGTTGCAGACGTGGCTTGTGACTGTTTGCTGACTGGGTAACTTTATGCCACCTTGGACTGTTTATGGTCATTACTTATAACATCTTTCGTATATTTATTCACCCCCTTGAAAAAGCTAGAGTTCACTATGAGACAAAGTTAGCAAGCTGATAATGGAGAAGAAACATGCAACGAAGAAGAAGAAGCACCCAAAACAATTGAAACATTCAAGAAAACCGAGGAAGCACGACGAAGAAGGCACTTCTGTTGATGCTGAAAAGGTAAGTTTTTTCAGCTGCTTGTTCATTTCCTGAACTCGCTGTTAAATGTTAGTTTTTTAATATTTTCCCAAATGATTTCAGAATAATCAACTGTTCAATATTGTATTCCACCATGGAGGTGAATTTATAATTTTGAATAATGGGGTAACGATTTACAGAGGGGGTGTATGTACATTAATTTCAGATCTCCACATGGATCAATTGACAATGCTTAACATCCATAGGTTGGTTACCGGTTGGGGTTAACAAGCAGGGAACATATAGAACGTGGACTTTAATTCGTGAAATAGATGATAATTATTTCCAGATTAGGAAGGATGATGACTGTTACGATTTCGCTGCATACGCGTGTGCGACCCAATTAGACAGAGAAATGTTCGTGAAGCATGATGTTACTGATATTGGAGCCTCAGTAAGTAGTCTAAGGTGTGTCAATGAGAATGTTGAGATGGAAGGATATGATGATGATTTAGTAGAAGGGTTGGGTGATAGTGAGGATGAACGGGCCATTGTTATTCTAGTTGGTTTTGAAGGGATTGATGTAACTAAACCCATTAATGAGAGCCCTTCAGTTGGTGAGTTTATGACTGGGTCCAAACAGAAAAGTAGTGAGGATGAAGAATATGTGAGTGACGATCTGGATAGCTCTGACTCAGATTTATCCGATTGTGATAAAGGAAAAGCACCAAAGTTTGAAAAGTTTAGGAAAGAGCATTTAAATAAGGATTTTAAATTTCAGTGGGGTATGCAATTCAACTCCCTAGATGATTTTAGATATGCCATCCGTGAGTGGCCATTATTAAATGAGAGGGAAGTTACGTTTGAGAAAAATGAAAGTGACAGAGTAAAGGTAGTATGCATGGCCAATTGTGGATTTTTAATGTTGTGCTCCAAAGTGGACCATAAGCTCACTTTTGCTATAAAAATATAGTTGACAAACACACATATGCTAGTGTTTTAGACAACAAATCTGCATGTTCAAGGTGGGTGGCTAAGGTTGTGTTGAAGAAAATGCAAACTTCTGATAATGTCAGGATTTGTGATATAATTCAAGACTTGAGGCAAAATTATTGTGGGAATCACAGTGGCTAGGGCATGGAAGGCTAAACTCATAGCCAAGAAGATGCTTGAAGGATATGCAGACAAATATTATGAAAATTTAAGGAGATATGCTACAGAATTACATAGAGTGAATCCTGGGAACACTTTGAGTATCACTGTAGAAAGACCAAGTCCATCTATTCAACCAAGGTTTGGTTCCTTTTATTTTTGCTTTGATGGTTGTAAAAAGGGTTTCATTAATGGTTATAGACCCTTTGTTGGAGTTGATGGCTGTCATCTAAAAACAAAGTATGGGGGTCAATTATTAATTATTGTGGGTAGGGACCTAAATGATCAGTATTTTCCTTTGGCCTTTGGGGTGGTTGAGACTGAAACCAAAGAAAGCTGTAGGTGGTTTCTTGAGTTGCTGATGACAGATGTAGGTCAGGACAAGAGATTTGTGTTTATATCTGATCAACAAAAGGTATACATTTTTTTTGTCATTAAGTTATATGTTATGCATATTTTACTTTGCACTGATATTATACAATATTTCAGGGTTTGGTATTTGTTTTTGAGGAGATGTTTGAAAGGATAGAGCATAGGCTGTGTTTAAGGCATCTTTATGCAAATTTTAAGAAAAGGTTTGGAGGTGGAGCTTTAACTAGAGATCTAATGATGGGGGATGCAAAGTCTACATACTATTAGGGATGGTTACAAAAGATGAGTAAGCTGAAGCTGGGATATCATAATGCTTAGACTTGGTTAATGGGTGTTCCTCCAAAGGTTTGGTGTAAGCAGGCTTTCAGTTTCTACCCTGAGTGTGATGTTCTTATGAGAAATATTTCTGAGTCTTTTAATGCCACCATATTAAGTGTTAGGGATAAACCAATTTTAACAATGTGTGAGTGGATTAGGAAGTATTTAATGAACAGATGCTCTACTTCTTCCATGAAACTTAAAAAATGGCCTCATAAGGTTATGCCAATTCCTAGAAAAATACTTGATAATGAGGTTATGTTTAGTGGTCAATGGCTTCCTACTTGGGCAATGGATGAAAATTTCCAAGTCGCTCATTCCTATAACAGTCAGGAATTTATAGTTGACATTTCTAAGAGATCATGTACTTGTAATTTCTGGGATTTAGTTGGTATTCCTTGTAGGTATGTCATTGCTGCTTTAGGTTTTAGGCAACTGAATCCAGAGGATTTTGTTGATCACTGTTATTATAGAGACAAGTATGCAATATGCTATAGTTTTTCTGTGAGTTCAATTAATGGTGAGGAAATGTGGCCAAAAGTTAAGTCATAGGAGATTTTACCCTCTATGTACAAGAAAGGTCCAGGAAGACCAAGAAAGTTAAGGATAAGGGAGTGTGGTGAAGAGGGTGCTAGAAGGAGGAGATTGCAGGTGTTTCTTACAAATGCACTAAATGTAACAAATTTGGTCACAATGCTCAAACATGTAAAAGCACAACACAAGATCCTAATGGACTAAAGAGAAAGGTATGATAAGTGTGTATTTTGAACTGACATATCATGTATTTTGAACTAACAAGTAATGTGTTTTATTTTTGTAGAGGAAGGTCAAGGTAGGTACGACTGATGATGTTCAACAAGCCGGTGAAACTGATGCAACTGAAGCACCAAAACAAACTGGTGCAACTGAGGCACCAATACAAACTAGTGCAACTCAAACTTGAAAACAAACTGCTGCAACTCAAACTACAACACAAACTGGTGAAACTCAAACAGCAGTAACTGAACCAGTTGACTATTTTGGAGACATAACTGATGATTTCATTTCAAGCATTCCTAAGATCAACACAACACAGTGTTCTGTTGTGGTTGATAAACCAGAAGAAAAAAAGGTAGGACAAAAGTGAAAGATACCAAGCCAGTGAGAAAGAGGTCCAGTGAAAGAATAAAAATCCAGTGGTTTCAAAAACCAATCACAGAGCCAGGTTCAAACGTCGAGCAGCCTATGTATTTGACAGAAGAAGAAGGAAGTGGTTCTAAACATGCAATGAAGAAATCTAAGAAGTAGTCTTATGTCTGTATTGCTTATTTTATCTATTTGATACTTTGACATTAAGTTATGGTTTGTGTCCTTAAGTTAAGACTTCTGCATTTTATTAGGCTGTTATGCCCTTTTATAATGACTTTGGCATTTTTGTCTACTTATGCCTTCATGTAATGACACATTTAGTATTGGTTTCAATTGATAAGGTTATTTAATGATTTCAAATGGTAATGCAATACTGTAAGAAAAATGAAACACTTATTGTATCAAAGTTGACATTAAACAAACATCATATTACATTGATGTAACTGACACCTCAAATTACAAATACTTGTACAACACTGCAAAGATATTACAAATACACATAACACTTCACTTCTGCAAAAAAAATTACAAATACACATTACACTTCAAATTACAAATATTTGTACAACACTGCAAAGATAAACCAAGATATCAAAA